TGGGCCCACCGCAGAAAAAACGTCAATGGGGATTATTTAAAAATCTCGTGGTCGGTCTCGTATATTATAACGACCGAATCAATCATTCGTGTGCTTGCGCGAGCGATTGGACAAATAATGGGCGATCCGATCGCTCCGTGATCGGTCTGAAAACGTTCCGATAAAGAAGGACGACGTACGGGCGGCGGAGGCGATTGCCACTATACAGTAATCAGTCAAAAGGATTTGACTCGCATCGCCGTCGTTTCGGTCTCGGGAGGAGACGCGATGCGAAATCGACTAAAAACGTGATAATAATCGCCGACGGAATACCGTTAATGGCACCGCACCGGGCAAGGTCATATACCGATTTACGAACGCTCGCGCATCCGTGCGCTAATAATAATAATAATAATTCGCGTCTTCGCTGAAGCGTAATAAAATAAATGGTGAAAAATCAACGGGGAAAAAAAAAAAAATCGAGTAAATCGACCGGTCCTAAAGCGATGGTCGCACGTTTTTTTTTTTCAATTTTTTTTTTTTTTTTTCCTTTTTCATTATTATTCTTATTATTATTTTTATTTTCGAGCGTTGTCGTGTGCGCGCACGATACACGCGACGGACGGACGGCGGTTTACACGTGAAATGCGGAACCGCCGGCGAACGTTTTCGTGATTGCGTAACAATAACAATGCACGGTACACGTCTAGGCGAGTCGGTCTGGCAGCAGTGGATCCGTGCGCGCGCGTACTTACGACGTACGGTAACTTCCGAGAAGTACGACACGGCTCGCGGTGACGCGACACGATCGCAGACAACGGAGGTGTGCGTAACAACGAGGAAATTACCCGGGTCCGGATTCTTTGCGCGCGTCGTCACGCGCGTTAGTGATAACCAGGGGCGGATTGACCTATCGGGAAATCGGGAATCTTCCCGATGGGCCGGTCCTTGTTCGGGCCGCTCTATATTACATTATATGATTATCGAAAAAAAAAAAAAAAATTATTTTATAAGATAAATAAAAATCATTAAAAAAATATATATATATATATATATAAAAGATGCATTAAGATCAAACTTCGAGTTCGAGTTGGAACTGATGAATCGTGTGACTTATCCAAAACTATTATGGTAAAGTTATTGTAGATTTTACTAATTTAGGGGCGAAACCAAACGAATTTTGAAATCGATGCAAAACAAAGCATTTTTCGGCAGGGGAAGGGGTAAAACAGTTTAATTCGCGGTTCATATGCCGGTTTGTTTCATATTTCCTGGGCCGAAAATAATTGCCGATCCGCCCCTGGCGATACCCCCCGGACGCGTAGAGGACTGTCAATTTTCAATATTTTAATACACTAGAACTATCGTACACCGTGCTGTGCCGGCCACCGGTGATACGTAATCTCGTGTTCGAGTAAAGGAAAACGATTTCCGTCATCGATTCTCGGGTGCGAATAATTATCGTACTGCACGTCGTGCACCGAAAGAAACTTAAACATCCGATCGTGTGATGATAAATCTGCGAGCGAATTCCATCGTTACCACCAAAGTTAATTCTCGTTGTTCCCGTTTGACCCACTGGAAACAAGCTAAGACTGTTATTGTTATTATTTCTGTTATTACGGTGGTTTTCACTAATTTTTTTTTCTTCGGACTACCATCATACGGTCTTATTAAGACGTGATTAGACCACCGCCAGATTATATCCCGCTGTACACTATTTTTGTTGATGTATTCCTTATGGAACGATAAAAATTAACAATAACAATTTTCACATTGGATCAAACAAATATCTTATAATGTTTAGAAATTCGACTCTATAGAAACGTATTTATTTAACGTGTTATCTTATTATCTATGTTATTTAAATAACTCCGATTATTTTGTCTATAATGTATACAAGATAAATCGAAATTTCACTGTCTAGCATTATAAGAGATTTGCTTAGTGATAATTAGTACTGTGATTTGAAAATGTATTATTGTTTACAGACGATATTACAAAAATCATGTTACCGATCATATTTAATTATTTTTATTTAACATATTATGATAAAGTAGGTACCTTTTTGTTTAATATTTACATTTTATTTAATTTTATTAAAATTCGATCGCCGTTGGACTATTGCAAACAAAAAAATTTCTTTTGACTAATGAATTTTTTTCTATTTTGTTTAAAATATGTACAAGTACATGGGCTGATATATCCGTATTTATTAGTTTATCAATTTAGTAGATTACAAACAAAACGTACAAGTTTTAAGTCATCAAACGCTGAAATGCCTGATGCGCTATTATTTAAGAATTAATAGATAAACTCTGAAAAATGCCATGAAAACAGCAAAATATGCATTAAAAATACATATAAAGTTAAATTTTTTATAAAGTGCAAACAAAAAAATACAAAATTACAAAACTACATTAAATTAATCAGTATCACTTGAAATACATTTTCTGCTTACGTACCTACATGTTGGGACATAAGAAAAAAAGATGCAATTGCATTAACGTCCCAGCCAGTAATAATATATGCACTATTGATGCGTATTGCAAAATAAAAACATAATAAGCATTTAACAGGGAATGATTTTCGTTCGAATTTCGATTGGCCGTAGGATAATACTCTAGCATTTGCAATTTTGTCACATCGAAAACACGGTTTATATTTTTTTATAAAATCCTAGTCAAAGGGTTTTTAAAATGTGTTATGTTCTAAACATCAACTGGAATGCAGAGGTTAAAATAAACATTATATAATATATAATTTATCGTCGAGCATCAAGTCGATAATTTATGGTCTTCCAATATAAAAAGATGATAATAATGAAATACCGTAGACAACAGGGCAAAGTTATTCTTTAACGTTTTTATAGATGAAAAGTCAACACGGTAAATGGGAATTTTTTTAAATATAATATTTATATAATTTCAATAAGACAAGTTGATTTTAATTTTAGTTTTTTTTTTTTTCATAGATATTTAATCGAAATAATTTTTTCAAAATTATATCTGAAATTAAGCTGTTTAATTGATTATTTGTTTTGAACTTGAAAATATTTCGTTTTATTTTTCGAAACACCGGTGTTTCAAATTATTTATTTGTTTAATTACATTCGAATGAGACGGAAAGTAAAAAAAAAATTGCATAACATTTGCTTCGGAGTTTAATGAATGAATACAATTTACAGGAAAAAAAATAACCTACTTAAAATATAATTCCGATAGCATTAACGAACGATAATGGCTATTACGAGTCCAGCACGATTTAAAAATAAATTACACAAGCATTATAATATGATATGTAGGTAGTAAAAACACGTATTATTATATAGCATACAAATTATATGGGAAATTCTAATAATGAAACCGTGTGTACCGCGATACTAACTGAGATATACTCGTAATATTGTATGATTACGATTTGTCAAAAACTATTCGGAATGAAATAAAGTGGTTTGTATCACGCCAAACGAATTTTGTTGCTCACCGTTCCACAAAGAACTTTTGGATGAACGTTTGTGTTTCGAGTAAACGCTGATGCTATTACCTGTGTAATACGGTAGTACACTTGGAAAGATAAGATTCGTTTCGAAATTCGCTAGCGCGCTACGGGCAAAGTTGGGCAAAAACAAATCAAAATAAAGAATAAAAAATAAAAGCACGAATAACTAATTTATTTATGAATAAAGAATAATTTTTTATTCTGAATAATTGTGGTGTACTGAATAAATTTATTCGTTAAAATCACGAATGATATTAATTATTTTTTTAACTTGTGTATTATACTAATCCCAATCATATGGGCGTGAATTGTGTCCTATCAAGACCTAAATTTTGGTAACTAAACAGGTTACTAGCAGAAATCTATTATAAAAATGTTATCACCTTTGGCGTTTTTAAATTAATCTTTATGGGTATACCGGTAAATTACCAAACAAATTTTTACGTAAATTTCACATAATTTAACACTTTAATAATAATTAATGATTAAATAATAATTCAAGTAATAACAAAAATAATAACAATTTGTAGTAGTAATTATAACAATTATCGTTGTAGTAACTATAATAACGTATGTGTATCAAGAATAATAACATATTTACATATTATATATATATTATTTAACTCTAAATAATAAGTCTATTATTATTATACATCGTTATTTAGGATTCAAATTTATTATTTATATGATTATATGGAATAACGAATAATGAATAAAAATAAAAATCAATAATAAAACTAAGAATAAATCAATGAAAAATAATTTTTTATTCGACTAATGCCCAACTCTGGCTACGGGTTAAATTGCGCAACATAATAGTATACATAATATACGTACAATAACATTATATGTTTAACACGCATTAGGTACGCTGCGTACGAAAAAATATAATTAATGAATTCGGTGTGTGCATTTTACACGAATCTTTAAGGTACATCGTTAAAATTATATTTCATTTTTCTCGTCGACCACAAACCGTCGTACGCATCGTACGCGTGTCGCAATATGTAATTTGTAGACAAGAGGCCTTCTCCTAGGTAAATGTGCATTGTAAACAAATTAATGACGAAAAGAAGAAAATAAAACATCGAGTATGTGCAATGTTTCACTATTATAAATGCAGCGTTGCCTTGCACTACATTATTGCAAGCCGTCTATTTAGCCTTGCCCGTCGCTATGTTATTATAACTGCATTGCTGCAGTAATTCCCTGCCGATAGTAATATAAAATCAAAATATGAAAGGTGACCATTTATCGGTTAAAGTATTGATTTTACCGTCACTTTTAAACTCGAGTAATTGTCTAATTCACCGGCCAGCGGACTTAACCGTTGTGAACAATCGTTGTATTATTAACTTTTCAAAGGTAATGAACGAAAAATAATCAACCGAGTAAAAGCAAACGGTCTAGTGTTGACTTATTTATTTACGAACTCGAGTTGATTGTTTTCATAAGCCGGGCATATTCACCGCGACGTGTTCTACTCGAACGATATGTAAAATGGATGAGTAAACACTTACCCAGTGCCAAGTCTAAACTGCACACGTGTAGGACAGCATAGAGCATAAAGTATTTGGGTTTCCAAGCCACCGGGTACATGCTCTTCATGGAGGCCACACCGCAGATCGTCATAGAGTGAACGCGCTCCGTGATGAATTGAAGATACCATTCTGCTGATGTACGCGAATCACCATTTTCGAAACGGCGGTCGCCTGTTGGGAAAAAAAACAAACTTATTATTACGCGAACAGCCACGTTAATTTATTTCAATCTATTCGATCGAGTTTCAGCGGGTTTTATTCGGATTTGTAAGTCCACGTCGATTTGTATGTACTCGAACGTTCATGGCAGGAGAGGGAGGAGCAAAATGAATATTTTTCAGTGAACATCGATTGTGATTTATTCGATTTCGTGAATTTTCTATTGAAATCTATGCGTCGTATACCTCATTTGTGTTTAGTTTTTTTTTTTTTTTGTTTTTTCGAAGAACGAATGCGTCTTCTAGTGGCCGTTAAAACGAATCGCGCGAACGAAAAACATTTTAACGAGCAACAATATGAGAATATATATTTTTATATGTGTACACTTTTCGAATAGTTTTTATTTTAGATACAATTTTTATTTTTTATTTTTTAGTTGCATTTATTTTTTCTCGTCGTTCAGTACTACACGCACCATTAAGCCGATGAGTCGTCATTCGTTTTGAAAAAAGAAAAAATTACATCTAATTTCTAGTATTGTCTGCACACGCGCGCGCACACACACACACACACACACACACATCTGAATACACATACACGTACACGGGAAATGCGCTTTTCGGCCTTGAACTGCTATCGATGGCTAGCTAAAAGTAGGCGGAGGCAACCGTTCCACTTGGAACCGCACCAACCGCTGCGATTTGCCAGTCTGTCGGTTTACGAAAAACGTCGTGTCTACCTATGTGCATACGTACGTAAACACACACGCACACCCACACCCGAACACACATACACACACTCACACGCACGCACCACACCTGTGTCTTATGTCCAAATGCCTCTATATATATCTTACGTGTACTCACTGCCTCCATACACCAAAAAAGAGTTCTATTTACGTTAACGATACTCTGCGAAACGAAATAAAAAAAAAAAAAAAAAAAAAAAATAGAAAAACATATTTAATGTACCCATATCTCTTATGCCAAAACGAATTATCCTCCGACGGGACGTACTCAACCACCGCACCGCACCCTTTTCGTTCGTCACGTTTCGTCAAACGAAACTCGATCGAGTGACACCGCGATATCCTTCGAAAAACGTATCAATATCAATAATGTTGTTCCTTGTTGTTTTTCCATTCTTCGCCATATTCGATATAATAAATCGATCATCGTAATAATATACTACCCCGTGTTTTTCAAGACAATTGGATTTACATTCGAAATGAACTAAACAGATTCGTTTAACAGAAAATATTCAAAAACAGAACAATTTAAACACCGATTGAAATGTACTGCACATAATATTTTCTAATCACTATCACCATACTCTACTACCTATCTAAAAATTAATCTTGTGGTTTTTTTCATTTTACTTTCTCTAACATATTGCACGATGCATTTAGTTATTTAAAATGTTTAGAATTACGCGTGCATGTATATTATTATTTTTAAACATAATGTAACTAATCGACATGGATGATAACTTATTAATTTACTTAGAAAATGAAAGTTTAAAAATCATAATTCGTACTTATATAATTTATTAAAGATGATAAATCGTAAGTAATTTATGTGCATAGTGTACGCAATGTTTATTAAAATTAAATCGAACGGAGAACTTTCGAAAAATGTATATAAAATAATACTTAAATTTAAAAAAAGTTCTTATTTCATAGGTGTATACCTTTCAATTAAGTAAGTTAAATAGCCGAATATTCTCCACAAGTTTTGTAATATCACACGATGGGTATATCGTAACACTTTGAAATATTTTCTAATGTTCTTTAAAATTGAAAAAAAAAAAAAAATTACTTTAATTAACTTCAATGAAGCATAAAAATATTGTTGTAAAAATTACATAAAATTATGAGTAATAGATAAAAGTGTATAGTGTTAATAAACATAGACGAACAACATTTAAAAAAAACAAAAAAAAACAAAAAAAAAAATTAAATGAAAAATGAAACAGATAATAATGTGATGATTAAATTTATCACATTCTGGTAAAAAAAAAAAAAAAAATGCGTTCAATGTCATACCTTCGGAAAGTTCAAAGTTTTTTTTTTGTTTTATTATTATTAAAAAGACGAAACAATCCTAGCAGTTACGGATCCGACGTGTAGGTAGGTATGTACGAATAGTATATATATATATATATGTATTATATATAGTGCACCGTGTTACAATGACAATCGTTCCCGTGTTGTACTACGATCGGATGTTAATTTTTTATCGACTTTAACAATAATTTATGCAATACGTTGACGATATTTATGTTTTGTTTTTTAATCGAAAATTATTCAAAACGTGGAACGGCACACCGAAATAGTATTGATATATTAATAGTTATAATAACAATAACGATTATATAATAATTAACAATAACAATGATAGTAACAACGACGACGGTAATGACAATATGTACTGCGCGGACTCGCGTGCCGTGAATTTCGGACTGTTAACCGTCTCGGCACGAGCAGGTACAGAGAATGTGCATGGGTCCGTTCCCGCCATATAAAATGCACCGACAGCACTATCGAAAGTGGAAAACATCGATTCTAACGACGTCCGCCGATACTACTAGTGCTCTCCGGCGATTGTCGCGCGCGAAACGGTCGCCGTCCGGTCCAAGTCCGTGAAACTCCTCGGGCGCCCGACATAATCGTTTCCCGGGTCGGATGTCTGAATCGAACACAAATCGATGTGCTCGGCGTGTGCACCGTCCGCGGACACCGCGATCCACTCGAATCGCGCGCGATGTTCGTTTTTATTTTTCGTTTATCCCCACCTCCACCCCTCCATCCCGCCGTCCGCCTCATCCCCCTCACCCGATTTTAACGAATGCGTCTGTGTGCACCACGCTCGTACGGCGGTGGCCACGCATGTGCTATCCAACACATATTTCGATCGCGGTTCGATCTTTCGGCCGTCCGAATAGTTTCGTGAGGACATTTTACGAACACTACGCTTAACTTTCCCGTCGTTCGATATGCGCTTTGAAACGAAAAAAACCTCCGAAAGAAATCATTTTCGCAGTTCGAACGCGAAATATTTGTTTGAAATAGTAATCGTGTACATTATAATTCGTAATCCTATTCGTTTACGACTACTGGTACATTCAATTTCGAAAAAATTAAACAAATGAAAATGCGAAACGTCTGAAGTCCAACCAAATAAATGACAGTTCGACTGTAAACATGATTATTATCAAAAACGAAAAAAAAAAAAAACTGATAGTACGCACATCTACGTAGACCTAAGCACACGTGTTATTACATTTGGTCTTTCCGATGCATGCGTATTCAAAGCATGTACTAACGCATAAGCAATGTTGTTGTTTGCTTACGAACCGCCGGTTTCACGAAGTCAGTAGAATTTAATGAATTAGACTTTTTTCATACATTTTATGCAATCTGTAGTTTTATGTCATTACAGTTAGACAGTTAGCGAATACACGTGTTGTTAACTCCACAAAATCGGAAATGTATTGAATTCGACACAACATATTTATATATGTACACACAGTGGTGCCAAATACGTACTCCAGGTACACTCGATTGAATTGCCTAGAAAATTGAAATACGAGTGTTAAAAAATAACTAAATAATGATCGTTAACGAAATAAACAAAATAAACAAATTCCTTTATGTATTACTTAACAAGAGTTTGGGTATTTAAAAGGGTGAAAATTGGTAGGGCTGGGTGAATCAATCTAATTATTTAAACTGAAGGTTTCGATTTCATTCGAAATTCACTCGTGTACATATAAACATATGTACACGAGTATATTTATTGACTTAAAAATACATCAATAACTTGGCCATTATGTACATCTGTGTTCGTCACTTTTTTTTATTAAGCTATACAATTCAAAATTTTTAAGAAATAAAATTATGTTCCTTGTATCTAATGGATTCGGTTCTGGAGATTGACGAATTTGTTCGTAGATGTGAAATTTGTTTCGGAAGCGTTGTAAAGTTTGACATTATGTAGTTTCATAAATATTAAAATTCTTAAAAAACATTTATGTACCTATAAAGTGTACACATATTTCATACAAATATAATTTTATTATTACCTACCATAATCGTATTATAATATTATATTTTTATATAAATATTGATTACCAAACATACTATCAAATTGATAAAAAAACATTCTTAATATTGGAATTCAATAAAATGGCCAAGAAGATCATCAGTGAAATATTAATTGCATTTAAATTGTATAACTAATTACGAGTAATAACAGAGTGTCACAAAACATTTTATTTGCATTTTTGAATGTGACCATTTCAAATTTGAACAGATATTTATCATCATGAAAAATATGAAGTCATGATAAAGTACACACCTAATAATATCAAAATTAAAACTGAATAATGTTAATATTATTTTAATAAATACAACTAATACGTATTAAGTTATACATATTTACACTATACAAATAATGAGATGAACGTGTTGACTGTAATATGGCATTATACGAGAATAGTCCTTCGTTAAGTTTTTTATGATAGTCATACAGTTGTTCGATCCAAAATAATAAATATGTCTATAAAATAAATGTTATACTGCATATAGTATGCGGGTTAATTGGAGCTAGTAATAAACACTGATTCGTAATGAACTAATGAACTAATGAAAACAGCTACATCATTTTAAAGCGTATTTATATTTTATAATCGAATTTTTCTGTATAACTTCATATTTTCCAATCTGACTTAAATACTTAACATGTACACAAGAAAGTGAAATACAAAAAGAATATCATCGTAGATACATGTTTTGCGAAACGATACTTTTACATTTTATTAAAAATATTATTTGACAACAGTTAGCTTAGGTTTTTTTTTACTTCGAATAGAATGTAAAATCACTCTTTTACTTTGCGCCATTTTTGACAGTAAACTATTTTAATATTTGTTTTTTTTCATACAAATCTTAATATGTACTCAGTATTTTAGGTGAATGAACTAAGAAATATTCTTGGTTGTTACTTAATTCTATATTTAACCTACGTATATAGTGCGAGCAATCGTTATTTTCGTGTATGTAAATATTATATATTATGGATTACAGTTAAGGAGCTCACGAAAAACGATCATTATCGTGTTTTTGATTATATACACTTGAAGTATAATTCATATTTTGTCATGGAATTTCCAAAAAGTACATTGTCGTTTAAGCATTTTGATTACTTTTCGTCGAAGTGAATTTAAACGACCCCCCCCCCGCGTAGGTAAAGAATTTTATGATCTGGAGAAACATTTCGAATAACTTTAGTCATGCTAATAAAAATGATTATGAATGTTGTGTTGAATTATCGAACGGAAAACATGTGACGACTATCATAAATTTTATGTTTGTTTTAAAATATGTGCAGTGCTTTTATAATATTTAACTATCGCCCATGAACAAGCACATGAAAAATATCCTTACTTTCTATACAGAAGTAATCTTGGGAACCGAGTTTTCGTAATTTCTGTATATTCTAATACGATCACACGACATCTAAAAATACGTTTTATGAATAACAATGGATACAAATCTCGCGGACCATTTAATACGTTTGATGTATGCGATAATTTGGCATGATAGTAATCTCGTAAAACCAATGGAAGTAAGCACGTAATGTACACCGATACCTGCCATACATTTTTAAATAAAATTCAAAATAAATATAGTTAGCATTCACTTGCCCACGATATGGATTCCACTGACCGTAAATTATTGTCTTAATCAATTAAAATACAACTAGTAAATTTCACCTCTCCACGATCGTTTCCTGGCATTTATAATAAAATAAGTTTCTAAAAAATTTGGTAGCTGCGTGCAGAGCATAATATCGAGTACAATATAAACATCTGTTCTTTAACAATACTTTTAATATTTTTAAGTATGATGCATAATTTGTGTATGTTATCGTTATTTAGTCGTGTAACAAATTGAGTAAGGACGTTGTAACGCAAATGCGGTCAAGGTACGTAAAAGCGTCGCAATTAAAAATTGATATTTATACTTTTCTCAGATAAATACTTTATGTACATTATAGGACGTATATCAGTACGAATTAATGCGATTTCCGTACCAATTTATATAATATGTACTCAACGGAGTGTTAAGGGATCCACGTGTACTGTATAACTCATAAACCTCATTCAAAGTTATGCATTTCATGTTCAAAATTATTATAGGTGATGAAGAAAAAAGTACGAGCCATATTGTGTTTTGTCACTTAGCGAACACAATTTTCATTAGTGTCGCTTGTCCCGAAATTTATAAATCAAATATGTCATTAATAAATGGTCGAGGGAACACTTGCACTTGTGTGATCGAATGCTTTTACTGTAAGTCATACCGTAGAATACACCGTGCAGTTTAGCTCATTTTGGCTTTTAACTGTCGGGCGTAACGTATAAAAATCGGACAAATTCGTTTTCGATGACATGCATGATGTTTAAACTGATTAAAAACAAACTCTAACCTACATGAAAATACTGATTGATAGTTTTTTTCTTCTATATTTAATTTCAAACACGTTACGCTGATTTCATTTATTCTCAAATATGTTCTCAATATTTTACATCGTTTAGAGACATCTAAAACTTAATTGCACGTGCAATTCGACCGAAAAAATACTGAATTGAAATTCCATCCGATCTGTACACCGCAGCATCGTCTCCGCATTTTAGGATCTACTATTGCCGCCACGATATATCGCGATGCCTGAGCCGAAACCGTTGGGCGATTCGCTTCCGGCCGACACCAGTTGGTCTGTCAGCCCTGACCGTTGACGACACGAACGTTGTGCGCGACGAAGACGCCGGCCACGGGAACAACGACCGCCGAGCGGGCGCGCCGGGGACGAGCGGTGGTGGCGGAACCGAGCAGACGTTGGTGGACGGTCTCGTCGGCGGCGGTGCGCGTTCGTTCTCGTTTCATCGGACGGGCGCGCGCACGGCCGCGGCCCCGGCGACGGGAATCCCGGTCGCTCGTACGCGTGCAACGGCCGCGCGAGCGCACCGCGGGGACGACGGCCGGCCGGCTGGATAATACGTGCGCGCGGGCGTCCCGGCGTCGTACTTGCGCGGTCGCGCCGACGTTGAGGCCGCCACGTTCTTCTGTTCAAGAGTACCTCGAGAGGTTCATCGGTCTGTTTATTGCGACTTGACGGCGAACAGGCCGCCGACGCCGCGCGGTAAACCGTGCCCGGCCGTCGCGTACTGCGGTCGTAACAGTCGTAACAGTTGTCGTCGGACAATGCTGCGAAATGTCTCTCATTTGAATAAATACGGAATATAAATACGAGAGCGTACGTATATTTATACATGTGGTGTATACGCATATGTATATATATATATATGTACGTGTGCGCGCGCGCGCTTGTAGAAAAACTGACGTTGGTATTAAAAGGGGCGGGTGGAGCGGTAAGACGACGGCGACGGCGATGAGGAGAAGGACGAGGCGGAGGATTAAAAGCACTCCAACAACAGTAATGACGGGCGCAGTGACCGCCGACCGGCCGTTGACGACCGTACGACCGTTCCAGCGCGCGCGTGTGTGCCGTCCGCTGTGCGTATGCGTTGACGAGAGCCAACGGCAGTGGTTGCGAGAAAGATTTACTTATTTACCGTCTAGACACCTGTATAAACCAGACGCTGCTGCTCTCCGCTTCCCGCCCGTCCACCGACCCGGACACCCTGTCGTCGGTCATGTCAATGGCGGCGGCGACCCGAGTCGTGTGCGTCGTGATTGCGTACGGCGACGGCGGCGTCTTCTCTCCCTCTCACTCGCACCATCGCGTCGCGTCTCGTTCACTTCCTCTGCGTGAACGCGCGTCGGTTTCGCATGCACAGAAATGTCCGACGTGCGCGGCCACACGAACGCGCGTCAACATCGCTGCCGGCCGCGGACTCGCTAAAAATAATTATTCTAACCCCACGCGTCCACGCACGCCCGTACGGGTTCGCGGCCGTTCGTCTTTACCGCAGCGTTTCCGCGGAACCGCAGAACTCGAGGGTTGTGAACAGTACCGTTGCTGCTACCAAACATTTTATTTTATCGGATCCCGTGAGCATACCGACTTTTTGTGAATTCCGATTTTCAACAAACGTACCACAACCGGTGTATTTGTTTTTATGAAAATATTTCCATTACTATTACTACGGAATTACAATAATATTAGATTACGTATTATCTTTTAATATCCCCTCGACCGCACTGGGACCACAAAAATAACAGTATTTTTTTTATTTTTTTTTTTGGATTAATATTTTATCTCGTTTTTTTTTTTTAAATGTACAGTAAAAAATTACGTTTTAAGAACAAAATTATAATGGAGATACTGGCATACCTATCATACATTTGTGTCACATAGATTGTGTGTATTTTTTAGATACCATATTGGACGACTGGTGATGTTAAAATGTGTACCAAACAAATAAAATTAGCGCAAAAATATTCACTAATTGCACGTATGTATGAATATATATTTTTAAATAATTATTCTATTTTTTTTTCAAATGGCATCGATAACAGTGGCCGTTACAATCCTGCCTTTCTCATCAATGGGTCTTAGGACGGTAAGTTTCTAAGTTTGATTTTATTATAGTTGGAAAGAACACGTTGGATTAGTGGATTCTTTTCTCAATATTTATCAAATATTCAAATTCCATGAATTGAGACAGACAAAACATTTTTTGCACGTTTTTCTATATAGACAGGACTAAATGTCTAGAACTTTAAATACATTATTATGGAAGAAGATCAAAATTCAGGATTCTCATCAAATATGCCCTCAGTAAATGCTGTTCGTTAAAGATCCTTAATTATTTGGATACTTGTCTTAAAGGAAATTCTATGTCTTACCAATATTTCGGACATGACACTTCATAAGCCATAAACTTAGAACGAAAAATTCTATTGGTTGTATGCGATTTTGTCATTGAGGCAGTTTTCATACTGCCATGTCATCATATTTTCCTTCCTCCTGTCACAGTTTTTGACAACCGATTAACCCAACGATTTTCCAACCGTTTGCATTATCATCATACTGATGCATTTGTTTTCCAACAAAATGTTTGTGACCTTAAATATTTATTTTTGTGTTTTGAATTACACAAATAAAGTATTTTATTATAAAATAATAATATTAACATACTATACCTAACATTGTAATTTAATATAAACTCAAATATCTCTATATTATGTTTAACACTGTAAATGACTCATAGTTACGTTAAGCTCAAATTATTAAATTTTAACGGAATAAAAATAAATATAGTTAAAAAACATTATTCAAACTCGCTGCTACAAACGCGGAAAACAAACATATATTTTTTCTGATTTAATTGTAACACCATTGCATTTACAATAGTTTTTTAGTAATTCACAAAAAAAATAAGTATGTAAACTTGACAAATTTTTATTTCCATTTTGCTTGTGATGTGCATTGTTAAAATAGCATTAATTACAATCGAAATAGGTTGTAAACATTTATATATACGTTTACATATAAGTTGTACATTTATTTATTTTATTTTCCAACTTCCACGCGTAGGCTGTTTACAATATGCCCCTTACACGCTATGGTAGGATAATTCAACAGGTTTATATAATAGAATGTGAGTGGCAAAGGGGATTAAATCGTATATGTGTGCTGTGAAGGGCGTGTAAATAATATTGTACACGACTGTACAACTGACTACAACAAACATACGAGTAAATAGTAATTTCGTCCTTGGAAATTCAACAATTTCACAGTTAAATGTTCAAACTTCAAGGTGATTCAAACACCAACAAATAAATAATAACTAAAATATAAAATAGATCATTTCAAAACGACTAAACCCGGATGTATTTATTGAATTTCTGAGCGTAAAATGATTTTTATTCGCGTAAAAATAATTTGATGTATTCTCGTCTTCGTACATAAACAAAATTCAAGTGCAAAATATATAAAAACTGTATTGGAACGTATACGAAGATATCTAAGAGTTTATTTTTTATTTTTACATCATATAATAGTCAGGATTATTCTTTATCAATGAAATGGAATAATTTTCAATGTAATGATTTTTGACAGAAGAATTTATTATTCTTATACCAATCGCAAAAAATGAAAATACAAAATTATCGTATATAAGGTAAATATATTATCCGTAATATACTTCCTTGGAGATTTAATAATTTTTAAAATGAAAGATGATAATAATCGTTCACAATTATTGATACTTTACGAATATCTAAAATCTATTGATCTATCTATTATATCTTTATATACGTTGTCAAAGAAAATTTTATACAAACAAATTCATATAATTTATACTAGAAATAATTAGATTATAATTAAATTAAACACAACTTAAGTATCCTGGTAAAAGTATCATTAAGTATTGATTTAATTATTATTACTTTTATTTAAGTATTATTCGAACACACAAAACACGTGTACCGATGTGTGATGAGAGCAATAATAATATATGCATAACATATGAATCCTTGTCCGACAATAATAAAATTCCTTCAATAAATATTTTTTACTACAAATGTTCCGGTTTTCATTTGGATAAAATCTCGTATTTTATTACCAGATAAGTTGGTTTTTGAATTTTAAATACATGATAAATATTATATGTATATTTCATAGTTAATGAAATAATTTAAGCAAATTATTTGAGCTTTAAAATCAGGCATTGTAAGAATAAAGTAAATTGAAATAATATTTCAATTACAAATTGTAAACATATTTATAAACTAATTATTATTGTTTTTTTCTAAATAACTCGTTTTATATAATATTTGAAAACTTGATTGAAAAATATTTATGAAATCAAAAATCTTTTGGCTATTAAATATGAGAATGTGGATTTACTTAAATTAATAAAATCATTAAGAGAACGGTCATGCACAATTAGTTGTTAATATGATATGTAGATAAAACAAATCTTTCATATTGTCACGTATGATTTGCCGACAACGTTTGAATTTTATTTATCTATTTATTTGTAAATACTGTCGTGTATCAATAAATGTTGTAATATATTTGTAACTTTTACGTGATACAATGTTTTCTTCTTATTGTATTTTTCGTTTTTATGTTCGATTTTACTGCTATACCGTAGGTTGATAACAAACATCCCCTTTGTTTTCAGCTTTATTTAATGCCACGGATACTTGTTATGATAATACCATGTGATACCACCGCCGCACGATATTTATTATTAATTTTTTTTCTCTTCGTACAGTCAAGTTAGCTGTTGGCCATTACTTAAATGAACAAAGCTAGTCAAAATAATCGTCATTATTAATTAAACTCATGTGGCCACGAAATGTTTCGTTATGGTATTTTTACGACTTGGATTTAATGCGCCTGACGTGAACCACAATATATTGTTGTGTGCACAGACCGCGGCATAACACGCGTGTACGTTACCAGATGTTATAAATCAAAAATTAAATAACATTAACCAACCCTCGCACATGACGTTTTAATAATACTGTAAGCAATATTGTATCGGAAGCGGTATTTTCGAGAGCACGACGACGCGCGTGTACGGTACGTAGTATATATAGGTCGGTGCTGCCGGAGATAAACCGAAAATGTTGACATCTGCTACCGGATTACGGACGGGAACCAGTTTGCTAACTCGGCGAACGATTTTGAACTTGGATCCTGAATGTTTTTTCTCAATACCGCCCTGACACGCATTCGTCCATGCACGAAACGTCCTCCGGTCTCGCGTTCGTTTCCCGTCGGTTTGTCGACCCACGCCCCCGAGTACCGCCGTACACACTGTGTCGTAACGCTGGCGCGTCGACAGAGGAGAGCGAATAGCACTTCGATGGGTTGAAATCCGTTCCGCTGGTTCGAAAACTACCCTCAACCGTGTGCGTCTTACGCGTCTTATTTACTGTCGTTACGAGTACGATGTGCGTCAGCGAATTCCACGTACGCCTATCGGCCCGTTTCGAACTGGTATTCAAATCAATACCCCTTAAACGGTTCAAATGTGTCACTAAACACTATTAGTGTTATAATTATAATTGTTTTGGAAATAATAACCCGAGTTAATGGCAAGTTATTTGGTTACACAACGTTATATAGGTGTCAGTGACGCAATCAGAGGGGGGAGGGGCAGTCCCCAGGTCCCGATCCTCCTCTTGAACCGTGTCGCATCTTACTAAAATAATAATGTTTGGCAAAACTGAACATTTGATTCGAAGATTAATTTCAGAAATTCCACATCAGAAGAAGACTCAATGGATTAGCTACTCTCAATGTCCACTGCAAAGTTAGTGTAACACCCGAAGTAGTAACATAACATTTAAGCTATACAAAACATTGCTCGGATTTCAATTTATAATCTTGTACATACCTTTTACCTGTTACACAATACATTTAATTATTATTCAGTTTTACATAATAATTACAATATTTACATTAATCAAACTATAAAATAATAATTAAATTTGCTAGCTACTTTAAAATAATTATATTTTTGGACCCCCCCCCTAAAAAAATTCTGGTTGCGCCACTGATAGGTGTACATAATCAGCATACACTACACATGCACATATATACTCGGGTTTTATCGTGACGACTTCGATCAACGACACTTGGAACATACATTCAACGAAGTGTATGTATATTATTAACGTTATATGTAGTTGGTTGTGTACGCCAACAGGATTGCACCAATTACTTCTATTTTCAAGTTTCCGCGTGTTTACACTACGTATCGATAATTTTGTTTGACTTAATCAAAAATATTGCTGGGCTTCGTTGAGGATAAATACTCGTTATATGGACATTGAGCGAATTCGAAAGCTGACGGATTTCGATACGCCATTGTGACCATTTATTGAGAACTTATCGAATCGAGAGGAATAAAATATAATTTACGCATCATGATATATATCTTACAAAAATCCATAGTAACAAGAACATGACGATTTCTCATTCGATTTCTCGTTAGTTTCCGGCAATTTCAAGACAGAAAAAAATAAATATATTTAATAAGCCTCCACATATCTTATTTTGAACAAAAATACTCTCCGATCTAATGCAATTTACCGCACACTCTGCAGCTCAAGAGCGTATCAATTAAAAAGGGTTGTTTGATCTCCCCTTTTAAGGTGATACAATCGCGTCATTGCGGTTTTGATTTTGTGACGTAAGATTCGACAAAAACTGCCGTAGCATTAACAAGGTCGGCGATCTCGTGCCTACTGTATCGAATCTCTGAATAGTGATTTATTCCATAACCACGTAGCCCTGTCAACACGTGGATGCTACTAATCGAGTAGTAGGCCGTGCAAGGTCGTTGACACATATTTTATTCGCCTTTATATTTTTGTTTACGAGTACCAAGAACGTTACTAGAAACTTTATACCTATTGATTTTATTTTATTTTTGTTTCTTGTAATGATGATTATCTAAAAATCACCATTTGAAATATATTTCACGTTTATATGCATTAGTGGAAAACACCATTATTTAGATCGTAATCGCGGTAAAAGGAATTTGTGTATTTTTTATTAACGGATATTACTTACAACGATGAATGTTGAATTTACTCTAGGAGCGAATATATATCGTCATTAAATTACAATTGTTAGAAAAAATAAGAAAAGTCGAACAGAACGACTAAAAGAGATAATGAAAAGAAAGCGATGAAAAATATTTACGTTAACGTAAATTATAGAAATTTATTTATTTAAACATATTTTAGATTTTGAGTAAGCGAGGAATGTCTTTAAAATTAAAATATTATCACAT